AGCAGCTTCCTGCTATACTGTACAACATCCACTTAGCAGAGAAATAAGATGTTAACAAAATAAAATATCAAATATGCAATAAGTGCTTAGAATAGACATCAAAATTTTCATATCAGCTGTTTATTTGCTTATAAAACCTAAAAGATAACATCAGAAATAAAAACCTATGTTAAATAAACATAAACAAAATATACCACAGAAATGAGCTTCGCTTCAATTGTTGCTTCAATGCTCAAGGCAGTCTTTATACATGACAACTTCATGTTCTATGCACAAGTATTGCTTACCCTCTCAGCATGTATGGTTTTTTTTCCTGTACTTTCTTATAGGAAAAAACTATGAGAAAGACTTCTTAACTTTCCTATTCTCATAGTAGGTCCTTGTGATGCTGCACTTGCCCATTCACCTGTCATCTTACGAGTGTGCTTCACAATGTTTTTGTACTTTTCTCTGAGCAGAAATATTTTTCTCCTCTGTTCTCTTAGAAAATGATCTCTTAGAAGCTCCAGTCTCAATCCTCTATAAACAAGGAGGACCTGATGGATGAACTCCAGAATAAATGTCTAAATTGAAAGCACAGAAAGTCCCCATATCTACAAGGGCATACATTTTTGTGCCAGATTTTGACCCATTGCTTTTCCATAAGTCTTTTACATTCCTGTGATCACTATAAAAAACCCATGCTAAATACAGCAGACCTATGAATGCTTTCAGCTCAGCTATTGAACTGAGGTGTCAAAACAAATACATTTTTTGAATACTAATTTTGGTGCATACAAATGTTTTATATCCATATCGGCGTTTATGTATTTCAGCATCTCATAGCATTTTATTTGTTAGAATTTCCAACACTGGGGGCCAGGGAAATAGCTTGGTGGAATAAGCACTTGCCTGGCAAGTGCAAGGGCCTGAGTTCAATCCCTTGTTCTGCGAGGAAGAAGAGGAAGAGGAAGAAGAAGAGGAAGAGGACTGGTGCTTTGTCCAATACGTTTCTCCTCTGCCAAGACCTTCACTATAGTTTTGAACCTAATTCTAACATTGGGTCACTCAATTTGCTTGCATGGTCATTTTGCAGTATTTCAACTAATCAAATATGTACTCGCATTGCTGGGGTTTTTTGGTCATCTGAATCAAGGAGGTCTGCATTCCCTGTGCCTGTATCAGTCGATTCTTGCTCCATTTGACTGTCACAGGAATTTTGGTTCATACGGCCAAGATCAAAGTCATCATCATCATCAAACACCCGCACCACCCTTCTGTTACGAAAGCATGCATGTTACCATAGTGGGTCATCCTCATGAACCATGTGTGATTAACCTGATGATTCACTTTTAACCTCCAAAACTTGGAAATCTAGTTTTTCATGTTCCATTCTACTGAACTGGGCTACTTCTACCAGAAAAATCAGAAGAACCTTTTAAAAACAAATCCTGCAGTATTGTGGGTTTATTGTACCCTCTGTGATGCTCAAGTAAACACATACAAAACTAGTTGGATGGAGCATAATTGTGTCAAATCCTGCTTTGACATTTTTGTACATATACACACACCTTTCTATTCATCATACAAAGTATGTAAACACATACACTACTTACTACATCCCTCAGGGAAAGGTGCTGAGATGCATAGTCAGTTACTACTATACTAAAGGACAAATGTGCAGTAGAAAAGTAAGGGATGGGTCTGCTGGACCCAGGCTGTTATGTTTTATGTCTAGTTGTCCCCCCAAAGCCTCAGGCAGTCATAGGGTGGCTTCTGGAGTTTGTGATTGATTATTGTGGCTGTGGATGCTGCACCTACCCTAGGGCAGGTAATCTGCGTTACAATATAAGGAGAGTAGCTGCTTGAGTTGTTACCACTCCCTTAGCTCTCTTGCTCTTTGCTTCTGCCATGAAAGGTTGCTCTCTGCCACTCTGCCTTGGAGCCAGCTGAATATGAACTGAAACCTCCAGTAACTGTGAGCTAAATAAACCTTTTCTTCCTTCATTTTGGGTGTCGGGTATTTGTCCCAGCAACAAGAGAAGAGTGACTGAGACACAGGCGTATGCCCTTGTTAAAGTAAATTATGCACACTTACTCTGGCTTGGCCTCAAGGATTACAAGGGATGCATGTAAGATGTTTAATATGCCAAAGTTGCAAGAATAAAGATAAGGCCTTACTGACACATGAGGGCCTATCATCAGTTTCATTGTACACAGAACTCCTATCACAGCAAAGGCAGATAAACAATGTGTACCACCTTTTCTCCCCATGGCAGCTGGCATGAATCATGAGAGAATAAGCATCTACTGAGACCTAAATATACAGTAACTGTTCAAAGGATGAGATGTGATTGTCGTGTTTCTTTCTAGATGTCCTCCAAAGCCTCATGCATTTGTGGCAGTGAGCATCTAAAGTCTGTGCTTGGTTCATGGTCCAATGCTAGGATTAAGACTCTAAATTCTACCTCTGCCCTAGAGCAAGTGGCCTGCATACAATATAAAGGATGGAAAGCATCTTTTCACTTACTCTCCTCCCTTGTTGCTTTTGCCGTCTTCTGGCACCACGAACTTGCCCTTCTGTCATGTACCACTGAGCTTTGGAGCCAGCCAATTATGAACTGAAACCTCTACAAACTGTGAGATAAATAGACCTTTTCTCCATTAAGTTTGGTTGTCAGGTATTTTGTCTCAATGATGAGAGAAAAGTATGATAGTGAATAGCATCACTTGTCAAGTTAAAATACCAACAAATCAGTCTCTTGATTACTATAGGTTAAAGGTCCCATTAAATTAGAACAGGGATTAATGTCTCTAATATAAAAGATAGAAGTGATTCAATTGAATCACCCTTTGCAACTTGAGAAACAGTATTACAGTGGGAGCAGTGAGTTCCACTATTATAACTTCACCTAGATATCAAAATACAAAATGTGAAGAATAAAATACAGCCAGAGGACTGTTGTATCCTATGAACTATGGTTGGTTTAGTAGTTGTATCTCTGCAGAATGTTCACCAACAACAATTACATACTTTACAGAGAAAAATTGAGATTAAGAGCCAGGCACAGTATTTTAACAAGACAATCATGATCATACTATCTTTATAACACACTTAGATGCTTATCTTGGTTTAGAATAGATGTTTTAGTTAATCATCTCTATCCAGGATATAAAGAAGCTTTCATCTATTTTGTTATCCTTTTATTAATTTTTATTTTTAATCATTTATTTATTTGTTTGGTACAGGGTCTTGCTTTGCAGGTCAGACTCACAGTGATCCTCCTGTATCAGCCTCCCCAGCACTGGAATTACAGGTGTACATGCATCGCCATGCCCAGTTTTGGTGGCCAGCACAGGGCACCCAGAGTTCTGGGTCCAGCATGACATGTGATACCAGAATTCAAAACTGGGTCCTTGTGCTTGCCAGGCAGGCACTTAGACCACTGAGCTATCTTCCTAGCCCCTAATTTGTTACCCTTTTAATATAACATCATATAAGCCCCTCTTTTATTTTTAATTTTTATTTTTTGCAGTGCCATGGATTGAACTCAGGACTTTGTGCTTTCCAGGCCTACTGAGCCATCTCCCCAGCCCCAGCCCTCTTTTTTAAACTATCATTTAACTGGTGGTCTCATGATGACTTGACTTACACCTTTTATCACAAGCAGTACAAGAGAAAGGTAGATATCTGTGTCTAGGAAAAAGTTATCACCATAAATAATTCTACTTTTACTTCTTAGAAGACCTATTCACTTGGAAGGCATGACTACGTTTAGTACGCCATGAAATTAGCAATAATGAATGTGGGCCAGGGAGATAGCTCAGTAGAATAAGTGCTTGCCTGACAAGCACAAGGTCCTGAGTTCAATCTCCAGTACTGGGGGAAAAAAAAGATTGCTTTAAAAATAAAGAAATAAATAAAACATATATAGCTATATAGAAACCTTGTCTCTTAATTTAGTTTTGGATCGAGACCATATTTTAACGGAACATTATTATTTTACTCACAGAAAACTTAGTCATTTGATGATGACCAAAGTAAATATACCACAATGATATGTTTAACAATGTTTACTGGGGTATGTCTCCCATAAGACTATGGAAATTATTGGGGTCCCATTAGTAAAGAAAGACTGGAAGAAGATATTTCCAGGCATCTGCTCCTCATTCGCCAAGGGGAGTCTGTTCCAACAATTTCTCTAAGCCAGGAGGGTCCCATTTAATTATCTTTAAAAGTTTTTGATGACCTATGAGAAACAGATGGTAACAACAAGTAGCACATTATTTTTGACCAATTGAAGACTCCAAGTTATTGTACACAGACAACAATATGCATTGCATCCGTAAAACCAGTCTTGACATCTTTTTGATCAGCTGGCAACCTGGGTGGAAGAATGTCCATAACTGTGATGAAATTTATCCAAAAGCCAACTTAAGTTATAGACAAATATTTTTAAAATACAGGAAGGCAAAAAGACAAAAAAGATTTGTTGAGTTCAAACAAAACAGCTATAGCTATGGTAAACAGTTAGAGATTAGATAGACATAGGACAATCTGTTTATAAAACCATAGCGCAACTCAGATGTAGTTGGACAAGTTGATTTATAATAACTCTTTTACAGGTTTTAAGTTTGTAGTTATAAGTAGACTATTTCACTCCTTTCCAGTCCAGTGGAAGTTCCCTTTCAAGTCTTAAGCTCCTGTGTTGGTGCCAGTTGCAGAGTTGATCAGACGCTTACATAACTGAGGAGGGAAGAGCAGGGCATAAAGAAAGATCAAAGGCAAAACTTGAAGTACAAGGGGAGCCAGGAGGAACACGCCTCTAGTGAAACAGCACAGCGATCT